AGTTCATGTTATGATTACAATGTATACTCTGAATAGAGAGATATCAGTGAGATGTCTACTTAACTTCAAAGTGAATACTAACTTCATATTCTATTTCTTTTCTTTGATGAAGAGTTGAAAGAAGATAGATCTGTCAGATCATATGAAATTTACTAATGAAATAAAATATCATTATTTTGACATAATTTAAGCAAAGTGTGTGATCACAGACTTAGAAGAAATCTTTAAGAAGAGCAGTCTGCTTCTTCACACAGTTAATATTATAGATAAGAATGTCATTCTAGATCTTCTATAATTGAGAGAAAATAATTCTCTTATTGACTGAGTCACTCAGATATGACAGTACTGTCTCACTGATGAAGAGACAGTAATAGAGAAATCTGAAGAGTTTCATCAGAAGAATCTTAAGAAAAAGATTAAGTTAATATACTGCATAGTAGATGATTGAGACTTGAGAACAGATAGAGAAGTCATCACTCTCACTACAAGATTAGCAGCAGTATTCATCATTAAAGATGAATATATATGATATTTCTTTACAGATTTTAAGAATGTCTTTTCAGAAAGAGAAGCAGTGAAGTTTCCTGATATCAAGATATGATATAAGATTTGTCTTAAAGATGATGTAATAGTGCTGTACAGGTCTCTTTATAACTTGTCTGTAAAGAAATTGAATGTTCTGTGCAAATATCTTGAAGAAGTACAATCAAAGAACTGAATATATTTATCAAAGAGTTCAGCAGAAGTGTCTATACTCTTTGTACTCAAGAAGAATGATAGACTACATCTATGTGTAGACTACAGAGGCCTCAATAAAGTGATAATTAAGAATTACTATTTATTACTGTTAATTAATAAGATAATTAATTGATTATCTGAAGCAAAGATGTTCTCAAAGATTGATATACAGAATGTCTATTATAGAATCAGAGTTAATGAAGATGATGTTTGAAAAACAGCTTTTTATACCAAGTACAGCAATTTTGAATATCTTGTTTTATCTTTTAATCTTTGTAATGCTTCAGCCATCTTTCAGGCCTATATAAATGAGATGCTGCAGGGCCTTGTTAACATCTTCTGTATAGTATACTTAAATAACATTCTAATCTTCTCAAAAACAGAGAAAGAATATAATACTCATGTTTGAGAAGTGTTAAGTTACTTAAGACAGTATTAACTCTATACAAACACTGAAAAATGCTCATTCTACATGCAGAAGATTGATTTCTTAGATTATATTATTAAGATGAATGACATTTCAATGAATAGAAGCTGAGTCTTCATCATTGAGAACTGATCAGTGCTGCAGATGTACTGTGAGATGCAGATGTTTCTAGAATTTGTGAATTTCTACAGATGATTCATCTATACATATTCACAGATTACTGTTTCTCTTACAGATCTGTTAAAGAAAAGTGTGAAAGACAGGAAAACAGAACTGTTTATTCTTACTCAAGACATCATACAGGCATTTGCAGAATTGAAACAAGCTTTTACAGATGTCATGATACTGAATCACTTTAACTCTGACTTACTCAGTCAGTGTGAGATTGATGTATCTAAGAATGAGATCTGTGAAATCTTTTCACAGTTGATATTAAAGATCTTTCAATATTGAAAGAATCAGAAAATAATCATCTCTGAGAAAACAGATAATGAATTGTCTGTAAGAGAAGGCTTTTTCACAGAGTCTATAATTATTATTATTATTATTATTCTTTCATTATACTCATATGCAAGCGGAGCTTATGATGAGTCCTTGCATGATGTTAAATACAGGTCAAGTGTTGATTATACAGGAGGAAATACAGGTGTTGAGACCACACCAAGATAACAAGAACATAGGAAAATACAAAGGAGTGACAATTAGATACATGCGATAATAACTTCTCAGCCCAGGAACATAGAGCAATTCATTGAAGTGATTTGTACACCTCTGTATTTATTAGAAACCTGAGGTGCTTGAGTTCCGGATTTAATGTATCCCCTGCGGGTTTCGAACCCACGCGCCTTGGTTTCCCACGCCAAGGCGCTACCGGGTGGCCGCATTAACCATTCGGCCACCGGGGCACAGAGTCTATAAGACACTGTGAATAAAGATCAGTGATCTTCTTCTTCAAGAAGTTATCACTTATATAGAGAAGATATGATATTCATGATTAGAAGATATTAGTAATTATTGAATTCTTTAAGATCTGATAACATTATCTTCAGAGTAGTAAGTACTCAGTGCAAGTTCTCACTGATTATACAAATCTGCATTACTTCTTGATAATAAAGAGCTTGATAGAATGTCAAGCCAGATGAGCAGAGCTGCTTTCAGAGTATGATTTCTATATCTGATACTGTTCAGATTAGCTTAACCTTGTCAACACACTGTCTAAATAACCTGATTATAATATTATTGATGTGAAGAAGAATTCTATAAAAGAATCTCTGTCATCACTGTAGAAGAAGCTGGCTGTAGAGAGTTGAGATTCTCTGAAGCTTGAGAATGACACTGAAGAGACAGCTGCATGACTCAGTATAAAAGATGAAAGAAAATCCAGATTCTCACAGAGAACTGACACTGAAGATCATGAGCTTCTTATATTATATCTTACAATTATTGAATTGATAAAGAATGAAACAGTCTACAATCTTTCAATCTAACTACTTTTGAAATTCATTAATAAGTTATAGAAGAGAGATGTCTCTACTGCAGCTTGAATTCAGAAGTTGAAGAAGAAAGAATTCAGTTTAAACTTGAAAGAGACAGGCTCTGAGTGAGATGATACTGCTAAGAAATCAAGTCACTGATAACTAGAAGAATATGAACTTCTACTGCTGAATAATTTAGTCTTCATCTCTTATAGTAGAGCAGTGTGTTAGAAGTTATTAAGAATTCATCATAATAATTCTCATGCAGAGTACTTTGAGTTAGAGAAGACTGAGAAGCTTCTAAAATATAAATATATTTAAGATAAGCTTCAGATAGATATCAAAGAGTATGTTGAAACTTGTAATATCTATCAAAGAATAAAGATTCTGTGACATAAGTAATACAGTGAGTTGATATCACTATCTGTTTCAAAGAGCTTATAACAGAATCTATTGATGAATTTCATAGTTGATCTGCTGAAGTTAACAAGAGTCAAAGAATATAACTTGATTTTAATCATTATTAATCACTTTATAAAGATAATCAGATATATTCTTACTTATAAAAAGATTAAAGCCTCTGAATTAACTAATCTATTTTTAGATATCATTATTTGTGATCACAGTGCTCTGAAATCATTGATAACAGATCAAGAATTTCTCTTCATCAGTAAATACTGATCAGCTTTTTACTATCATTTTATAATAAGATGTTTTCTCAGTACTGTATTTCATCTGTAGACTGATGATCAGACTGAATATTAGAATCAGATACTAGAACAGTATTTTTGAGTGTTCTATTCATATTATCAGAATAATTGACTCAAACATCTTCTGATTACTGAATTCATATATAACAATGCAAAGAATATAATCTTAAAGATATCTTCTTTCTATACTTATTATAAATATAATTCTTTATTACTCAGTGACATTATAGATAATGTTTTAAAGAGAGAAATAGACAGTCAGAATGTCAGACAGATACAGAGAATAAAGTATCTCTCAGTATCAGAAGTAAAAGTAAGATTAAAACTTTTAAATAAAATTTATAAGAAGATAGTGAAAAGCATTCACTATATTCAGAAGTAATAGATGAAATACTATAATTGAAAACATCTTTCAATGAAGTTCTTGATAGAGAATTAAGTACTACTTTCAGTAAAGAATATCAAGATAATAAGACTATGTAAGAAGTTCAGTGAGTGATGACTAGAACTTTTCTCAGTAATAAGAGTGATGAGTAAGCAGATATATAAGTTAAAATTACTCACAGAATTGAAATCAATTCATTCTATTTTTCACATTTTCTATTTAAAGCTCTATAAGCAATGCTCTGAAGCAGAGCTGTCTTGATCAGATAATATCAAGATTAAGAGTGATACTGAATATCTTATAAAGAAAATATTAAATAAATGAATATATTACAGCAAGCTTCAATATCTTATTAAATGAGAAGAATATTCATTATCAGAGAATTTATAAGAATCATTTAAGTATTTGAAAAATGCTGAGAAAGAGATTGCAGACTATGAGATAACTAGTAGAGACTGCTCTATTATATATCAGAGATATTAAGTAAGAAATACTATTTAAAAACTTCTCATTTTTCTTAAAGAGTTTTTTAGAGATAATTTTACAGTGATAAGTTAGTATTTTGTAGACTCTATAGCACTCTTCTTCTATTTTCTCTTAAAGAATTTTTTAGAAGTTTAATAAGACTACACAAGTGTAAAATTCCTGAAGTGATTAATAAGAAAAGAAAGAAATATTTGAAACTAATAAAAAGATTAATATTAATTGATCTGTAGATCACTGCTAATTTAATGAGACTGCAGCTCACTGAAAAAGTAAAAAGAAGAAATCTCAGAGTCTACTTATCAATAATTACATCTTTATTAAACTTATTCTTCACTGTTGAAGTCTTCAGTACTGATATCTTTATCTGCTGAGAAGTTAGTACTGCAGCACTGCAGAAGAGCAGGAGAAATGCATGAAATATCAACTTATTAACTTATAAAGTATTTCAGTCATCTACTTTAATTGAAGTGAAATTCTCTTTAATCAGTGATGAATCTTCACAGTGCTTTCAACAGTAGTACTGACTAATCTCTTCTTAGAGTCAGTCATTCTAAGATGTTTTTTTATCTCAGAGATTCACACTTTCATCTTCTTTTACAGATAAGTAAGAAGGATCTTCTCAGTCTTGATGAAATTTATCAATACTTAAAGCTCTGAGACTCTCACTCTGTACTGCTTGAGTATCTGAACTTCTTGTCAGAACTGATATGATGTCTTCTTGTAGAGTAGATAATACTTACAGAGAGATAGAAGTTGTTATTACAGATATAATGAAAATAATGAGAGTGAAAGAAGAAGTAGATGTATAAGATTTCTTTCTTCTTCAGCTGCTTAACACAGTGTAAGTAAGTAGTGATATCAGTCAGAGGCTGCATCAGAGCCTTCTCACAGAGAGAAGATAAAGAAACTGTGAGACTCTGTGAACTCAACTCAGCAGCATTCTGAGCAGGGCTCAGGTGTGTGAGAGGGGAACTACAGATTGAGCTTCTCAGAGTCACTGTTCCTGAAACCAAGCTCTTCCTGGGTTCCTCTCTGAATGACCACACGGGATCATATGCTACTGTATTGACTGGGGGGGGAGGTGGCGTTGCAACAGTGATGAGGGAGGTAGGGAACAGACTGGACACAGATGAACTGATCAGCAGAAGAGACAACACCTCACTGCAAGGCACAGTGACTACTGCTGCAGCTGCAAGAGAAGCAGGAGAAGAGGGAGATATGATAATGAGAGTGATGCTCTCACAGCTCATTGACACTGCTGTCTCCATCTTCAACCTGGCTTTCTTGGCGGTCATGGAGGCTGCAGCTGCATCATGAAGATGTTTATTACTCACTAGAAAATGTCAGAATAAGTTTCTTATTGTCTCTCAAGAATGATGCTCTCATGCACTCACTATTACAGATAAGAGAAGAGAAGAAAAATGTGTCACAGAGAGAGAAGATCTTTTTGAAAAAATCCTGTCACTACTGTTAGCTTTGTCTCTAAAATACATCACTTTTACAGAGAATTTCATATATAGAATGAAATATGTTAAGAGATCTGTAAGTCACTTATTAACTACATTTTTCACATTTCAAATTGATATATAAGAAACTCACTTATCACATATTTGATTTGAATGAAGATGGAAAAAGAAAGATCTATACAGTCAGCAGAATAACTCATCTATTTCTTTATACAGTATATATACTATCAATCAGTTAGTAACTATTACTATATAACAAAGATAATTTCTAATCTGATAATCTTGAGAACATTGAAACTATACTCTTAAAGAGAAGAGTATTGTCATACTTCTGACTGTATCAAGACTCTGTTACAGTTTCACACAGCTTATCACTTTTATATAGATGATTTCTTCTCATCTGAACTAGTTTTCAATCACTTTATAACATTATTCAGATATATCATAGAAAGATCTGATTAATGAATATGAGAACTCTGCTTCTATATAAGATTAGCAGATTACTCTTTCTTAATAATGAGATGCTGCTGAGATATTACTCTGACTATTCTCACTCATGAAATAAGAGAAGAGTATTCACTCATTGTCTATATAGAATAGCTAGATGCTGGCTTCTTATTAAAGTAGTCAGTGATTCATTTTTCTTCTACTGAAATATATATAAGAGTTACTATGTGTCTCATACAATAGTCTTAATATACTAAGTATCATATCTGTGATATTCTTGTAATAACTCTGTAGCCTATGAGCTCACTATTTAAGCAAGATAGTCAAGCTCACTTATACAGCTTCTTAAACAACTATCTCTATGTGATGCCGCTGACTAGTCACTGCTTCGGTTCCGTCACATTATAATATTATGCAGTCTTTTATATATGTAGATATTTACTAAGTGATCAGTGAACATCTTACTTATATAGAAGTAGTCAGTCTGTAGAGAGAGAATTCAACACCTTTCTTAATCACTACTCTATTAAGTAAATATTTATAACTCAGCAGAGCAGTTCTATAACTAGAGAAGAAATATTATATACAAAAATAGTAGTGTCTTTTGTCAAAGATTTTGTGAAGAACTAATAAGAATTTGAAGAATAAGAAAATAAAGAAACAGTGAAATGAATAAATAAACTACTGTAGAAGTAGCAGGCTAATAATTATTATTATTATTCTTCTTCAATTATAGATGTATATAGTCAGAGACTATGACATCTACCTGAGAACTTTTAGTTCTCAGAGTTTTTCTAATATTTATAGAGTTAACTATTATATATTTATTAATTTCAGATATACAAAATCAGAAAATTCTAGCTCAGAATATAAAAACTCTTTATTAGTTACAGTATTTTAACACCTTCTGATACTTTGAAATCATTTGAAAATATTATGATAAAGAAAAAGAGAACAAAGTCTTAAAGATAGATATATTAAATAAATAAATAGAAAAGAACAGAAAAGAAAAAATAAAGTAAAGAGAGACTATAATAAAATAATATTATTAAAAGATAATATATAGCTGTTTTAACAGACTATATCTGATTAATTTCTTCCTCTTCATATTCAGATATTTCTGAATTCAGTTATTTTCTCATAGCTGCTTGAGTTTCTGATAGAAAGTCTATTAAGTATTTGATTTCTGTCTCAGTTGAGAATAAGAACTTTATATTTAATTGATTTAAATCATACTTCTCTTTCAATCTGGCTCTGAGACTATTGTATAATGCACAGTGTATTATAATATACTCAGAATTTTCATTTACATTGCAGAATGAGCATTCTATTGAATTAAATCTATCATTAAATCTTTGTATATAAGATTTGAAATAACTATGTTCTAGTTTCAGCTGAATTATAGATGAGAATATTTTCTTTTTATATTTAATTAAATAAGATTTTCACTTGAGTTTTATTTTAAATCTTGAATAATATATACTCTTCTTTTGTTTCTATTAGCTTTTATTTCACTTATTTAAATAAGATTCTTTTTCTTTCTCTTTATAAAAGATCAGAATACTGTTTTTTGAATAGATCTGCTTAATTCTGAACTCTTTTTTACAGCTGAATCAGTCAATTTATTATCATGAATATTTACATAAGTAGAAACTCAGTGCAGATAAATTATCAGTTTTAATATTCTTCTCTTTTGAATTTTTAAAACAGAGTTTAAAATCAGTTTAAGATTCATTGATTATTATGAATCTGACTATTTCTAAGTCTTTTTAAAGTAGCTTAACTATCAGAGAATATTCATATCTCTTTTAAACTATTTTCTCTTTTATAAGATTTTATTTCAATGAGTTTGAAAGCTTTTACTATTATAAATAGTGTAGTATCAAAGACTTTAGATTCACAGTCTAAATTTCAGAAATCTGAGATAAAATTAATATTATCTTCAGTATAAGCAACACCTGTATCTAATCTATTCAAATTCTCATTTTTTAAGTCATCTGAGTAAATCAGAATAGAGTCTTTTATATTGATTATAGAGATTCTCTTTAAATACTGTTCATATTCTCTCTTTTTAGATAGTTCACTTATTTACAAGTCTATGAGAGATTCAAGCTTTTCTCTTCAGAGAGATACCTTCTTATGATCAACTTTTTCAACATTTAATAAAGAAAATTGATTTTTAATCAGTGAATATAGTCTGTATAGTTGAGAGAATATTTTCTTTGAAGAATTATTTTCATTTCAATTAAGAGATCTATTTCAATTCAGTTCATTTTCTGAGTTAATTAATGAAAATAAAGAAGAGACTCTTTCTCTGATTATATAATTTAAGCTTATCTTTATAACTCTCAGAGTATAGTTTATACAGTTCTTTTCAAATCTAATAGTAGAAGAAAGAATTGAAGCTTTAATTTTCATTACTTTAATAGAAGATGATTTAAATACTCTCAGAATTCTTCTCAAAGCTCTGTTTTACAGACTTTGAAAGAGGTTAGTGAAATTTTCTTAATTATTTCATCAAACTTAAACTTCATAATCAGCTACTGAGGTGATATAAGCTATGTATAACTGTCTTATAGTCTGAAAGAATAGATCTCTCTCAGTATTTGATAGTCTAATTACACTATTCAGTAGTCTCTCTGTCTTGATAATTCTTTGTTAAATATAATATTTAAAATTCAACTTGGAGTTTAATCATACTTCTTATCATTTGATATTTAAACTGAGTTTTATCTCTTTATTTAAAAGAGTTAGACTTAGTTTTTTCTCATTGAATCTGGAAAAAAAGTGAATTAACTTAGTTTTATTCATATTAAATTGAATTAGATTGATATCTGCTGTAAAAAAGATTTTCTTTACTGCTTTTTCAATCACTTCTAAATTCTCTTTAATTGTCTTTGAACTGTAGACTAATCAATATCATCTACATAACTTGAAGATCTCACTATTTTCATCTCTCAATTCTTGAATAGATATGCATTGTATATTGCAAATAAAACAGATTAGATTGAAGATTTTTGCAGTACTTCTATTTTTATCTCAGTTTTATCTTGTTTCATTTCATCAAAGAATAGTTATATAATTCTTTTAGATATAAAACAGTTAACTCATTTTATTAGAGAAAGTGATAGTTTTAACATCCTCAAAGTTTGAATTATCTTAGACTTTGAAACATGATTAAATACATCTTTTATATCAATAAAAACTGCAGTTGAGACCAGGCCTTCATGCTTTACTACTTGAATATCATGAACAACTGAAAGAACAGTGTCAATTGCAGAACATTGTTTTCTATCTCTCATTTACTCATTAAATAGAAGAGAATCACTAATAGAGCTTATAAAAGATAATCTAGTAGCTATTATCTTTTCTAGAATTTTTTTCAAACAGTTCAACAGAGATATTACTCTATATAACTTAGAAATTGAAGCTTTTCTATTAGATTTTACAAGGATTACTTCACTAGCTTCTCTCCAGCATTCAGAATGATAATCATTTTTTAAAAGATTGAAAAAGAGCTCAAAATATTTATTCTTCAAGTAGAAATATGTGTTTTGAATAATCAAGTGATTAATTGAATCAGGCTCTGTAGTAGTTTTAATTGAACTTGAGAATATAGCTGACTCTAGTTCATCATGTGTAAGCTCAGGTCATTCTCAGTTATTTTCATCAATATATTTATGAAATAACATATTCTCCTCTTCTAAATGTGATGAGATTTGAAAGAGAATTCTCATAAAAGCTTGACACTTTTTCTTAAAAGAGTTTGCTGTATATGATTCATTCTGAAATTCATATTCTAAGATTGAAAGCTTTGCTACACTTCTTGTTTTAATATAGTTGAAGGCTTTAAAAACTTCTTTTTCTTATACTTCTTCAAGAAATTTATTTCAGCAGTCTCTTTAGAGTTAGAGTTAAAGTAATTATAAGAAAATGATTAAATTCAGAACTCTGTGAGTATAAAAAAGTGAAAAAGATTAATATATAATCTGTTTAAACAGTTATATTTATTTTTTAAATAATTTTCTTTTATTGTTCTTTTAGTTCTGTTTCTCTTTTATTTCTTTTATTTTTATTTATATTTTAAACAAGTTCATGTTTAAGACTTTTTTTCTTTATTGTTATATCTTTTAAATGATTTCAGAGTTTCAAAAGATGTTAAAAATACTGTAATTTATAAAAGATTTTTATATTCTGAGCTGAAATTTTCTAAATATTGTATATCTGAAATTGATAAATATATAATTAACTATATAAATACTAGAAAAACTCTGAGAACTGAAGTTCTTAGATAGATATCATAGTCTCTGACTGCATACATCTATAATTGAATAATCAACAGTGAATTGAGTGATTCAGCGGTAAAAAAGAGTTCAGAATTAAGCAGATCTATTCAAAAAATAG